GAGAGAGAGAGAGAGAGAGAGAGAGAGAGAGAGAGAGAGAGAGAGAGAGAGAGAGAGAGAGAGAGATGAAGGCAGGAGAGGGAGACAGAATATGGGACTGCCAGGAGACTTTTGCACAGAAAATCCTTGGAAATTTATATAAGAACTGTAAAACTAACCAGATTATCCTTTGATTAGCTGGTAAGATCCACTTATGAAACTGTCATAGGCAAAGCACCAGAGCAGTATGGGATTTTGTGAAGTCTTCAAGATGCCAAAGTTGAGAAACACTGCACCAGAGGGAAGGCATCTTGATTTTGCTGCACCACGCTGTATGCCTTTTGCCCTTTAATGACCCCAAAGCACTCACAGACTCTTTCACTAGGAGGGACCATTCTTGCCACCCCTACTATTTTGTTTTGTTTTGGAGTGAATTAGGGCAAAGACTTGAACCAGAGATTGATTGCCAACAAAAGAAGTGGAATAATGTGCCAGATACATATAAAGCTAAAAATATGCAACTATGTATTCCTTCTTGTAACACCCCCTCCACCCAACACAATTTTCCCTGGTTTCAAGATATATGTCTCATCCTCAACTCATAAATTTGAAGATGAGGTGATGCAATTTCTGGGTTTAAAAGTGATGTTCCCGTGGGATTCTTAAAGGCAGAGACTGCAATATTTGCAGGAAAAGATGATTGAAAAAGGATGCATTGTTATGCAAATGCCGCCATTACCTATATGCATCTATCTTGAAACCTGACCCCAGGATGTCATTCACAATATTTACAGTGCATGATGATGTCACACATGTCTCAGCTTTGGCTTTCTTTTCGCTTCACAGTCCCTTCTCCTTCCCATAGATAAAATGTTCACCGCTCTAGCAATAAAGTAGCATATATCATAGCTAATAGGTTCCTTTGGAGCCAAAGCCATACTCTGTCTCTGACTGGAATAAGAATTCACCTCTGGCTTGTGGCCACATCTAGACTTCTAGTGAAGTTGTTTTGCAATTGGTCTCAGTGAGATCATCATAAGCATGCTAGTTTTATTCTCCCCTGGAAATAATTTGCATCCCAAGTAGGCGAGACTCAGTGTGGATGTTAACACTGTCTACTGACCATATGCTCATCAAGCAGTCATTAGAGGGCTTTGTACTATATAGAAGGTGCTTTGGTGTAGATCCTGCTTGAACTTAGAAATAAAATAATAACATCCGCACGGGTGAGTGTGGCGGGCTCTCACACAGCCTGGAAGATGTCATTAGTTAGCAGTAACTTCATTATGTCTGGCTGCAGGACTGCTCAGAAAAATAAAAATGGACAAAAAGCCACCAAAATGCTAAAGCAATGAGACATTAGATTTTGCAGAGTAAGTCTGTTTCATTAGATACCTACAGTATATTGTGAGATTCAAATATGCACATATTTTACTGAAGGCATCGGTGGAAATAGAAAACATTGTGGCTGGAAGAAAATAAAATGCAGAAGATGCAAACAATCATAACTGCACTCTTGTTTAGTTCATTTACATTTACAGTCTGTGGAGTGGCAAAGATACTATATATTTCATTGATCAGTTGATAAATATGTATGTGTAAGCACAGAATCTCAGTATTTATTTTAGGATGAGCATTACAGAACTTAACAGCATCATTCATAACATGAATGATCTATTACTTAGCTTCCGATATCACCTATGCCATTGTTTAGGATACATAAACAATGGCATAGGATTAGGATACAGAGTTTCTACGCAAATGTGCAAATAACTACCCACATAATTATAATTGCTTGAATCTTCTGCATTTAGTTTCCATTTGGCCTCACTAACTACTAATTCTAGAAATGGATATACTGTATAATCTATCTCAAGATAATATTATAGAGATATTATAAAATATAGCCCATAAAAATTGTGTGGTTTACTTTAACAGGCTGATTGGGCACATCATACTCTGAACTGTAAACTAGCCATACATGTTGTGACTTAATATGTTGTATGAATAAAGTTTGTGTGATTATTTTACATGTATTGTGCAAACCAAAGATTTGGGCCCAGTCAATGGTCTGCAATACGACTTCTACAACCCACCAGAGTTATCACTCTGGAAACTGATAAAACATTGCTTATAAATAGCCTAAAAGGACATATTTTGTTTTTTTAAACTCTTTTTAATGCTGATAGTTCCCAAGTTTTAGTAAAACACCCACAGAGTTGGAATAAGCCAAAATGACAGTTTATCCCCTTCCACAAGATCACCTTTAATAGTGCTGTTAAGAATGAGGAAGCAGGGCAAGTCAGAAAGGTAACTGGACCCCACCTCCCCCAATTCTGGGACACACATATGTTGCATTACACGCCAATCTAGACAAGACAGTAGCTGTATGGCTAACTAGTGTCAATGGGGCTGGTGCGTTCGTGAGTGCCTGCATTTAAGAAGTGGTCTATAATGGTACGTAAGGTGAGCCATTCTATTTGAGCATGCTCACCTTGGTCATCAAAGATCTGGCTCACCCAGCGATTTGACCAGAACTTTTGAGACCCTATCACATTTAGCATACAACAAAAAAGAATGGTGACCCTCGAAAATGTACCATTGCTTGTTTCTAACTCAGCAGTGATGTTGTTAAATAATGATAAACTCTTGAGCAGGAAAGTCTGTGCCATGACCTCCATTTTTGTTGAGGCAAAAGAAAAAAAAAGGGAGCAGTTGTTGGATGGAGACATGGCTTGTAAGGAAAAAGAGAGACTGCCATCAAAAGGACTGGCATGCAGGCTTCTTTTGTATAACTTGTAGGCTGTCTATGAAAGAATGGTTCCTTGGTCATCACACTTCTCCAATTCAGAAACTGAGATGTGTTGTCCGCTGGTGGAGATAAATCTTGCCCGTTCCTACACCCTCCTCCACTCATCCTGGTAGGACAGGCTGATGCAACTGAGTCCATGAAATCTTTCACTGATTTTGACAAGAAGAGAGAAAGAGAACAATTGGATGCATAGCGAATTCCTCAGTGGTTTCCCCCACCCTGTTAGTGAGCCTGAGTAGGATTCCCTGGCTTTTGTAGGTTCTGCCATCCATAGTGCTGAGAAGCATTGTCAGCACACAATTTCCTCCAATGTGCAAAGTGTTGTCTGCAGTGGGACTGTCACAGTGTGGCTTGTGGGATCAGAGTGGTTTGACAAGGGCTCACACGTGCTCTGTGAACAGAAAAAGGGAAGACGACCAAAGGAGAATCAGTGGACAAGTGCATTCTTCAAATCCTACCTCAATTAAGAACTCACTAAATAGTTTTAGGCAGCCATCCCTCTTTTGGCCTTAGCTGTCTACTTCCAAGATAGCAGTATTGGCATAGCTTTCAGAGACACAATTTTGTAGGAGCTTTGCTATGTTGTACAAAATGCTAGGTATTATTAAAATCACCATATGTGGTTTTAATATCCTACCACAACAGGCCAAAAGGATAGGCATTTCAAAGACGTAAATAGAGCTGATATCCCATTATATTAAACTACTCTTCTCATATCTTTCTCAAGTTGGGATAAAATTCAGATCTGATGACTTCAACACTAGCTACTCCCCCTGCCCCCCCCCCAATTCCAGCCAGGGTTTATTTCCTCTTGATTGTTAAATTTTATGGAAAATGTGAAAGCTTGCACACTAGTCTACAACTTTTGACTTGTCCTAATAAATTGCCTAAACATGATGGTTCTCAAAATACAAGTGTATTTCAACCTACCATTTTCAAATGGTGGATCCTGAAAGCCCCAAGGAAAAATTCAGAAAGGGTTTTGATGGCTGAGGGAATCACATTCTGTATTTGTACGGACACGGCTTATTAATGACACAACATATATTTGAGCAAAAATGCATGAACGCATGCATTTAAAATGTTTAAATCTTGTTCATATCGGTATGGGAGTTACAACACTTCTTTAATTTATCTCATTAAAATCAATGGAATGTGAAAGAATTTAATTTGGGATAGGTTTATATACACCTATGGACATGCACATGCATGTAGATACCCACACACGCACCCACACACACACACAAATGAAAACAAATATTCGTGAAGCTTGATATTGGAAACAATTACACTTTGAAATTTGAAATAGGATTCATTGGGGGAGAGGGATAGAGTGTAAAATTTTGAGAAACATTTTTTTTTTAGGATTTCAAAGACTAAAATCACACGCCTTCTTAAACCCAATTAAAAACACTCCCAAATAAAGGTTGAATTATCTTGCAATTGTTTCCTCATAAATGAAGTTCAATAGAACTTACTCTCAGATAAGACGTACACAAAATTACAATATCCAATTTCACTGTTTTTGTTGTTGTATAAAAAGAATAACTCTTTGTAGCCGATAAGGTATGCTTAGCGGGGCACGGTGGCCAAGCAGTTAAGATGTTGGGCTTGTTGACCGGCAGATTGGCAGTTTGAGACCAAGTACTGTGTGACAGAGTGAGCTTCCATTACTGGCCCCAGCTCCTGCCAACCTAGCAGTTCAAAAGCTTGTAAATGCAAGTAGATAAATAGGTACCACTTCGGTGGGAAAGTAACAGTGTTCTGTGTACCTTCGGCACATAGTCATGCTGGCCACATGACCACAGAAGCGTCTTCGGACAACGCTGGATCCTTGGCTGTGAATCGTCGGAGATGAGCACCGCCCCTTAGAGTCAGACACAACTGGCAGGGGAAACCTTTACATTTACCTTTTAAGGTATTCTTAATTTCTTTCTTGCAATGATGACAACTGTAAGATTGCTAAAGCCCTGCCTATAACAAATCAGGTTGTTAGAAGAGGAGGGAAAGGAGCAGGGATATTGCATCTGGGCTGTAAAAATCCAGACAACCAATAATGGCAGCAAATAGTTAAAATTTTGGACATCTGATAATTATCTGGAGATTTGCACACCAGATTTGGTAGCCTACCAAAGAGACATATGTATCTCTTTTTCCTTTAGGATGCACTTAAAACAAACAAAACAACCAACAATAAGATGCCGTCCTAGTGAAAGTCAAATATTTTGAATGGCAGACTTCTAACAAATAGGCTAACAAAATTATTTTGAAATAACTGTTTGTGAAGCAACAAGATAAAGTAGTCATTTTAAATCATGTGGGCACACTTCCGATCTGCAGCATTTATTTTGTTGATTATGAGGTCAGTTACAGTAATTGAAGGTAGTAAGAAAAGCCTCATTTGGAATTGGAGGTGGAATTAAATAGCCATTGAAGTTCAGGGACTTGATTTAAACAGTCTAATTTTTAACTGTTCCTTTACTCCTCACCCATTTCCATATTGCTAACGTTTCTACCTCCTCTAATCCCCTCAACAAAGTTGTCTGAATGTTCATGTTTGTCCATCTCAAAAGCTGGCAACATACAGGGAACATTAGGAGCTAATCAGGTTTCATCTTTTCCCTTCAAGGGGAAACTCCAAAGAAAATTGTGTTATTGGTATCTAATGCACTGAGCAATAATCCCCCTCACACTCGTATAGCCACTGTCCATGCAAAAGGGAAATAAAATAAATTGTATGATAAACAGTAAGCATTAAAATTTTCCAAAAGCTTTCTACATGCTTTGCTTCCATTCCTCTGTGACATTTAAACCCCCCCTGTGAGCTGTGAAGGTGAAATGTTGCCATGCCTGCAATTTTGCAATCAACTGAAAATTGGGGGGAGGGGGGAAGAGGGGGGATTTTAACTAAGGCATATAGGAAGAAACAAGCTCCAGGCATGGAACTTCTATTGACTGGGGTGGGGGAGGGGAGAGGGAAGACCCTAAGACCCAGGGCGACTCAAGAGTTCTGCCAATGGGGGAATGTATTCTCTACAAGTTTTGCAGTCTCTTAGTAATTCACAGGAAATTTCCAATTTTGCAGCGATTTCCAATAAATTAGAAAAAAAAAAGAGTCAGCTTGCCTTAAGAGGAGATGGTATGGAATCAATCAGGATCAGAGCTAATCACAAAGTGGTGCAAAATGATAATATTGAATGGCTCTCAGGAATCCACCTTTTGGAAGGTTTCTTTCATTTAAATAGCATTACATAGGGCAGAAATGGGATCTATTATTCAGAAATCCTTGCCAAGCCAATGCAAGTCAACTACATATCTAGAAATAAAGCTATCCAGAGCTAATTTCTGCCCATCCCTTATTTAATTAACAGATGACCATTTGCTCTAGGGCTCACTCAGAGCTTTTTTGTCAAGCCAGAAGTCAATCTGTATAATGTGAATTTTAAAAAAAGGATCCTCTGAGTAAATGCAAATGATTCTGCCTTCTGCATAAGAATAACTACAAGAAACTGCTGCATCTGAGATTGGAGGGTAAACTACTGAAGCAGAAAGCATAAACTCGAGGCCCAGTGCCACTCTGTGCAGAAATTAAGGTCATCTCCCCAGCCAGATTGAAAATAGACTCTGCCAAGGAATATGCCAATGTGCTATATGTTGGCTTCTGCTCTTGTGAGTCCTGGCAGGGATGTGGGCCTACTTACCACATTCTCATCATGGCTTCCTTCCTCCTCCTCTGGGCCAAGAAGATCAAACAGTTTCTCTTTGATCAGCTAAAAGAAACAGGGGAAAGGATAAGATTCTCAGTTCCAGCAAAAATCTGATACACCCCGATCCTCTGGCAGCAGAAAGAGAGGTCCTCTTCTTTACCCAGCACTGTGCTGGATTAATTATTTATTCTTAATCCGTGCAGTAAATTCAGGGCACTGAAGCTTGTTTGCATAAGAAGTCTGACCCAGTACTCTTTTTTGAATTTAAAATTTTATTCAGCTTTTGGTCACCTACTTCTAAGGCTGCTCTTGCTTTCTTAAAGCCTAGAAATACATTTTGTTTAAAAAAATAATAATGCTAAGATTTAATTTTAATGTTGTAAAATTCTTCTTTCCATACTGTAACTCTCATGAGGGCAATTTTCAGCAAACGATTATTATCTTAGCTTTGGATTACTTTCCAGAGATAATTATATTGATCTAACCAGGGGAAAAAAGGTGGGGGGAGGCATTTTTCAAAGTCCTGCTTCTGAATTATCTCAGAGAAAGGCAGATGTTGCAAGGCAAACCTGTCTGCAAAAACAGGCTATCTTGCCAAATTCAACCAAGTGAATCATGCTATGATTTTCTAATCTGTTCCCAGAAACTGCTTTGTTTAACAGGCCCTAAACTGCATACACTGTGGAGGTCCTACCCCCTTACTATGCTTGAGCATCCAACTAACTGCAGTCCACAAGCAATGGATACACATTTTTTGGACTAGTATTTATTCATTTTTACTTCTTTTGCCTTTGCTTGCAGGGAAAAGTTTGATGCCAACCCTAAGGCTCCCTTAAATTCTACTTTTCATTGGGCTGGTTGCAGAGGTGGGTTCCTACCAGTTCGCACCTATTCGGTAGAACCGGTTAGAAGAGGTTCCACCAGTGGACCCGGAAAGCAGGCCATACCTACAGAAGAGGTTCCAAATTTTTTTGAAACCCACCACTGGTCCTTGGATATGATTATTCTACACTATCATGCTCATATTTATAAAACTCAGTGCCTCTGTGAAAGGTAAGGATGACTACTGCGTTTGTGGTGCAATCAGAACATTGCGTGTGTTGAAGTTGTTTTAACGCAAACCAAAGATGCCTACAGTTTACATCATATTCTTATGCATGCCAGTGCTGTGTGTGAGGTAATTTAAGGTGGTTCTGACAAGTGTCGTCGGCATCTTCATATTCGGTCTGGTCCCGGTCACATGGGCGGCAAGCCACTCCCACATAGGAGGCTGTTAGATTGGCGGCAGAAAAGACGAAGAGGCGTCTGAGGTAACCTTCAAGACAGTTTATTACAGGCAAGAACAGTAACTGTAAGTAGACCGGCACCTCTCCTCCGTCTGACAGCCTTTTATACTGAGCTGTCAGACGGACGAGCCAATAGCCTTGCGTATGACAGCCCGGCAACCGGCAGGCGCGTCTGATTGGCTAAGACGTGCCTGGCTGCTGCCGAGCTGTCATTCGTAAGTCCGAGGACTTACGAGGCTATAACACTCCTTCCCCCCCAGCGAAGCGCATGCGTCAGAAATGGCGCATGCGTAGTCGTGTAAGTAGGCGGGGGGACGGCGGACACACCCTGAATGCCTCAGTTGAGCTGCAGGCGTCGACTGGAGAGGATGTCCCTGTAAGAGCTCCTCCTTTCAGGGAGTGGAGCTCCAGGTGACGTCAGAAGAGCGGCCTGGATGTGAAGGCGGAGCCCAAGGAGGAGGTAAGCTGGGCGAAGGGGGCGCAGCCGAGGATGGCAGTGGATTTGGTATAGGCCAGTATGCGGCCTGGGACTGGGGAGGACTGGGCCTACAGAGGCCTAACAAGTTGGGAGTGTGTATTGCGGGCTCGGATGGAGAGGCGGAGGGAAGGCCAACGAAGGGTTGATGCGACCCGGAGGCCCTGGCAGGCTGGCCTGAATGGGTGAAGGCCATTGGATCGTCTGTTTCCGTCCACTGTTGCGGAACTGGGGCCGGTTGCGAGGCGTCGGTGGCCGGCCTCTGCAGGACGGTTTGAACTGGATCTTCGTGGTTGTGGCGGCTCCTCAATTGATCCAGGTGCCGCCGCCACACGGTGCCATCGGATATTCTGGCCCTGTAGGAGACAGGTCCTGTTACCTCGATGATGGTGGCAGGCACCCATCGAGGATCCCCAGAATAGTTGCGAGCCCAAACAGTATCCCCGGGAAGGAAGGAACGAGAGGGAGACCCAAGGTTGCCAGGCTGAATTCCTGAATAGAGGGGGTGTAGTCTATCCAGGGTGGTCTGCAGGCGCCGACCCATCAGCAGCTCCGCGGGGCTTTGCCATGTTAGGGGGCAAGGTGTGGAGTGCTGTGCCATTAAGGACGCGTCCACCCTTGCTTCCCAGTCGCCTCAGTTCATGCGGCCCAAAGCCTCCTTGGCCGATCGGACCGCCCTTTCCGCCCGGCCATTGCTGGCCGGATGGTAAGGGGCGACTGGCGCATGGCGGATCCCTTGTGTGGCCAGGAATGTTTGGAAGGCAGCAGATGTAAATTGCGGGCCGTTGTCGGACACAACTGTATCTGGTAAGCCATGGGTAGCAAACAACCGTCGCAGGGCCCGCACTGTGCTCTTGGCTGTGGTGGAGTGCATTAAGATCAGCTCCACCCAGCGAGAGTATGCATCTACAGCCACTAAGAATACCTGGCCGTGGAAGGGGCCTGCAAAGTCTATGTGAATGCTGGACCAGGGCCCGCGTGGCATCTCCCACTCCCGGGAGGGGGAGGAGGGGGGAGATGGGCGGGATTCCTGGCAGGGGATGCAGCGGGTGACCCAGGCCTCGATCTCGGAGTCTAGGCCGGGCCACCATACATAACTGTGGGCCAGCGCCTTCATGCGCGCAACCCCGGGGTGATCGGCATGGAGCCGCTGTAGTACTTGGTTGCGTAGGACCGATGGGATGACCACGCGGTCTCCCCAGAGGAGGCAGCCTGAGTGGAGGGAGAGTTCCAGCTGGCAGGACTTGAAGGCCCGGCAGTCTGGAGGAACGACTCCTGTAGGCCAACCTCTCAGGACCCATGCCATGACTTGAGGAAGGACAGGGTCAGCTCGAGAGTGGGAGGCCACGTCAGTGGAAGTTAGGGGCAGGTCCAGCTCGGCAATGGAGAGGACCGAGAGGCAGGGGACCGGCTGGGGGTCCTCGCAGGGAAGGGGGCAGCGACTAAGGGCATCGGCATGCCCTAGGTGCTTGCCCGGACGGTAGCATAGTGCGTAGGAGTACGCAGCCAGGAACTCCGTCCAGCGGGTCATCCTAGGGGAGAGGATGGGGGGGGGGTCGGCTTATCGCCAGCCAGAAGCCCAAGGAGAGGCTTGTGGTCGGTGTATAGTGTAAAGTGTCGACCATATAGATAGTCGTGGAACCTTTTAACCCCGGACACCGCAGCCAGAGCCTCCTTGTCAATCTGGCTGTAGTTCCTCTCGGCGGAGGAAAGTGTCCGGGAGTAAAAAGCTGTGGGGGCTTCTGAGCCGTTGGGGAGGACGTGGCTCAGAACCGCCCCCAAACCCAGGGGGGAGGCGTCACAGGCCAAAGTCAGGGGCAGCTTGTCACTGTATTGGACTAAGACTGCCTCTGACGTCAGCAGGGATTTGACAGCCGCGAACGCATGCGCTTCACGGCTGCCCCAGTGCCAGGCTGCAGATCGGTCGAGCAACCGATGCAGTGGCTCGGCTAGTGACACCTTGTGCGGAATGAATGGCGCATAAAAATTTAAAAGGCCGAGGAATGCTTGAAGCTGCGCCTTTAAGGTTGGGGGGGTGCATTCCTTATGGCAGCAATTTTTGAAGGGGTGGGGTGGATTCCCTGGGCATCAATCAAGAAGCCCAGGAATT